GTTGGACTCTCTTGCTCACCCACGGATCGTAATTGTGAACAAACTGGAAGAAACCTCACGGGGCGCCCCACCGCCGAGCCCCGAAACTGCTCAGCATCTTCACCGACCCCCCTCTCCTCCCCGTCACTGGCTCACCCTGATGTGCTCATTCAGACCTGTATTTAAGCTGCGTGTGAGGTGACTGGGTTTGTGGCTGTGGCTGCTGTTCTATGTCTGTGTCTGTGGTTTTGGGTGACCCCTTTAAAGTCTTTGAACTGCAAGCGGAGCTGAGCTCTGTCCTCCGCGGACGGGGGCTGGAGACGGCGGCTGCGATCAGGCTCTGCGAGGCAGGAGGGGGCGTCAGTGAGAACAGGAGGACTGTTGGAATCGAGAGGCCCGTGTGCACTTCTCGTTCACTCGACTGAGAATGCTCACTGTGAGGGGACCTGTGTGTCTCTCCCCCACACCGACCCAAGACCAGATTTCAGATAAGACCACTTTATTGGCCATATACAATTTCTTGCATTTGTCTTTTCCCATACCCCAGCTTGCTCTCCATGAGACACACAGACAGGGAGCTTTTATATTTCATTATTTCATATTTCCATAGGGTCAGCTATTTATACGGCACCCCTGGAGCAGTTGGGGTTAAGGGCCTTGCTCAGGGGCCCAACTGAGTAGGATTCCTCTGCCGGCTGCGGGATTTGAACCGGCAACCTTCCAGCCACAGGAGCATATCCTTAGCCACAGAGCCACCGGTTCGCCCCCTGTTAGGTAGTTAGGAGCTAGTTGATCCCAGGATTTCATCCAGCATCCAGAAACCAGTGTATTGGTTTTAACATCATGGCTGGGAAGCTTGTTCCACACTCCCACCGCCCTTTGTGTAAAGACATGCCTCTTGACCTGACTGCAGGACCTCGTCCAGGTTCTTGAGAGAAGCCAGAGTATCGGCTTCAACGACATCAGTGGATACAAATCATCCTGCAACTCATACATCATACATAGCAGCCATATCACCCTGCAACTCACAACTGGCAACCCACTGAAGCTAAGCAGG